TGGGCCTGCTATAGAGTTCTGTGTAACAACAAATGGGGCTTTGCACTTCACACTCATGATTAAGAGGTGGGGGAGAAGCTCAGAAGTTCAGTAGGATGACGCTCCGTAATATTGATTTCGTTGTCTGCTGCCACTATCTGAATTCAGCCCTGTATTAACAGTACTGTGGCAATAATCTTCTGCCTGCCAATGGTACTTATAATTTCTCCCTGCTTCAAACTCCATTCCATAAAGTTGCTAGGAGAATCTTTACGGCTCTGATAAAGACAATTCCCTCCTAAACAACATTCAGGGTCTCAAAATTGACCATAGATTTAATATAAAACCTCTTGGTATGGCATTTGAGGCTTTTTAGAGTCCAGTCCGAACCTTCCTTCTCATCATCTTTAGACGATCATAAAGTTAATTGTTAGTCAATAAGCTGGAGATCTATCATCTACATCCAAAGGGGACAGCTTATAGGTTCATGGTGTATTACCTGTTTTAATTTCCTTCACATGATTCCATTAGACAGTTCTAAGAGGCGAGATAAGGCAAGTATTATTCTATTTTATAGATTGGAATATTGAGACTTAGATAGAGTAAATAATTTGCCCGGACCTAAACAGTAAGTTTTCCTAAGTGCTCAGTCTGTTCGTTTTCTACTCTTACACATTTCTCTGACTGATTTACATATCTCCACCATTTGCTTCATGTGCTACCATTTTCTGGGGAGCAGGCTTTGCAACATTGGAAGGTTTAACATTAAGTTCGCAAAAATGGAGGTCCTTGAGCTGAGTCTGCTCAGATGTGTTTTATTAGGTAGCCTTAAAAATCAGGTTTCTGAATTTCTGGCCTTTAGTGAAAGATCTAAAGGTCTGGCAACATCGTGTCCACATTTTTACATAAGCAACACTGGCTTGAGCTGAAGAGAAGCCGACCCTTTCAGCTAGGGTTTGAGCTTGAGCTCATAATGCCTTAAGCCCACCTTCTTTACTCATGTATAGTACCCCCTGGCCCTAGTAAGCATTTGAGTTTGCAACTGTTGGTTTAAAGCAAGAGAAAAAAGGTCAATTTATTTTCTAAAGATAAGATGAAACATTTTAATTGAGGAAATAATATGTGATTATTACGTTTGAAGAAAGTTTTCATTTTTTTGTATTAAGATTTGCGTTTCCCAGGAGAGAGTTGGTATTGTTTTGGTCTTATTTCTCATTTTCGACAACAGAGCAATTTGACCCAGACCTCTTAGTGAGAGTCTTTTTTGATGCAAATCTTTGCAGGGCCTTTTAATTAGGAATTGACAAGGTGATTAACTTATAATTCACAAAAATAAATGTGGAAAAGAGAAGTACAGGTTAATTTCTAGCTGTGTTAAAGTGCAAGGACAGCACCATTGGCAAGTAATTGTTCCCTTTTAACAGCTTTTCTAATTTTTCTTAATTGGATCCTTTGTTTTCTAATTGGATAGAGAGAACTATCATATGGCTTTCAATTACTAGCTGTGGCATGGTGATCCTGTCATATGGCACACACTAAGTCAAGTCAGACTCTCAACATATACGACAGAATAAATACCATCTCCAAGAAGCTTTTTGTGTGTGTAAGAAAGTGGGGCAACCCCCATGACCTGGGTAGGTAAATCCATGCTGAAATTGGACGTACTGACTAGCCTGACTTTAGAGGGAGACTGTTTTGGACTTGTGCTTCCATTATGTTAAGGTTATAATTTCTTAAAAATATTTGCTCATCATAATATATAAACGCTCCTAAGAATACAAGATTATCATTGCATTCCTAGAAAATGTTAAAAAGTGTACACACACACACACACTCACATACAAACACATACATAAGAAAATGCTAGTGTTCTCAAAGTAGTTTGTTTCTTCTGTCTGCTGATGAATTTAGAGATTCTTTTTTTTTTTTGGTGAGGAAGATTCGCCCTGAGCTAACACCTGTTGCCAATCTTCCTATTTTTGCTTGAGGAAGAGTGGCCCTGAGCTAGCATCTGTGCTCATCTTCCTCTACCTCGTATGTGGGTTGCCATCACAGCATGGCTTTACAAATGGTATAGGTCTGTGCCTGGGATCCGAACCCGCACACCCAGGCCGCTGAAATGGAGCATGCCAAACTTAATCGCTACACTACCAGGCCAGCCCTGAGATTCTCTTTTTAAGAAACAAAGTTTCTTTATGGCTTTCTCATTTTACAACCGCTGTTGGATCTCTTTTTCCTGCAGGATAAAATCTAAATATTTTATCATGTCCTTCATCTGACCCCAATATCCTTCTCCAGCTCTGTCCTCCAAATTGTCAGGCATACACTTCATGTGAGCTTTTCACTTTTTCTTGGAGAGTTTGGGTCTTTGACAACTCTGTTCATGCCATTCCTGCTTTCTAGTATGTCTTCTACATTTCTCTTTGTCTGGTTAATCTTATTCATTGGTCAAGATGAGATCGAAAACCCTACCTTCCCAGTGAAGCTTCACCTGACTCCCCCAGGCACAACTGGTTATTCCGTTCTCTGTCAACCACTGAACGTGGTTAATATCTCTGTACTAGCTTCTGTTCATTCATTCTTTCAAAAATACTTTTCATCAATAAAACTGAGAAAAAATACACTGAGCATCTCTACGTATAGGTGCTGAACCCTGAGGCTACATGGTTACCAAGATGGCTAAATTCCTGATCTTGTATTGAACTGTAGCTTGTCCTTAGGCGATTATCTCCCTTACTGGCCCGTGAAACTACAGGCTGTAGGAATATTTGCCTTATTTTATATTTGATCAGTAGCGCCTAGACTTGTGCGTGGCTCAAGTGAGGTGATTGAGAAATGCTCATTGTCTTTTTATCTCTTCTTGATGGAGAATACTGATCAGATTTAGAAAATCTAACCCCTTAGTGAGTCAACCTAGTATACTTACAATCTTGGCTTTTAAACTTGGAACAGTTGATCTGACCATTGTCGCTGTCTTTGAGATGTTATGGAATCTAATGCTCTTTTTGGGTAACCGTTTTCGTGTGTCTAAGTCAGATCCTGTGATGGGCGCTTTGGCTCAGCACCTCGGAATTGTCTTTTCCCGGAGAGGAAACACAGTCTCTGATTAAATGCCCTTAGCAGGCAGGGACAGGACACAGCTGGGGTTTGAATCAGGCTAAATCCCATCAGATTGGCAATCAAGAAGCTGGTGCTTTTGAAGATTATAAATCTGGAAAGCAGCAGAGACAAGGGGCTATGAGTTCCTGCTCAAAGCAGGTAGCGCCACTTCTCTCTGGCTGTTAGTGCTGCTTCTCTCTGGCTGATGCTCCCAGAATTACTTTCAAGATGGACACGTGACAGGATACGATTTTAATCCTGGGACTACAAAACCTACTCCTCTCCTCTTCAAAAAGAGAAGTAATTAAAGTCTTGGAGAAGACATAATTGGGAATATGGAACATCATGGAAATGAGGAGGACTTGAAATAGAATGCCAGAAACTCTTGTTTCATGTCTCCATGTTTCTCTGAAAGGCATACGTACAACTTGAAATATAAGAAGAGCCGAAAGCTGGCAAGTCTGTTAGCTCAGAGTCTCCAGCGACGTTAGATCACGGGGTTCTGCCTCGTGACTCTCCTTGGCTTTGTGGCATGTGTATACGTCCCACTTGATGAAACCACGCTTCAGCATTTATTGTGGTTGCTTCTCTGTTCTCGGCTATGAGCCGATTTACTGGTGCCATTGCCAAAATGAAGACATTCAAGAGGGGCAAGGGAAACCTCTCCTTCCTCAGGCAGCTCTGTGGATGCTGGAGCTGCTGGCCATCTGGCTATCTCTTGAGCAGACTCTCTCTTACTACGTATACCCCATCTATGCAGACTGCCTATGCCTCTGAGCTCATTATTGCTCTAAGTGTTTGCTCTTGGATTCGTGCTTCACGCGTTTTATTTACATGCTTTATTTTTCATTTTATGAACAAATCGATAACCAGACTTACTCTTTATCACACTGGATTAGTTTTATTTATTTCATTTGAATTTGATTAAAAAGCTGTCAAACATAAGTCTACATTTTTATCAGCTGAATACTTTCACAAAACTGGGTATGAGAAGTGTTCAGCTAGAACATACTTTTCAAAATAAGACAATGTTTGATATATTCTAGACAGTTACCCTTTTGTTTATCCATGACAACTGAAACTAACCGTCAAATGGATACAGCAATCCAAGTCTAGTCAAGTAATCCTTAGGGCATATGAAAAAAAGCCTTTTTAAAAAGTTCTTTCTAGATGGATTTAATGTAATTCACCAATAAAGCATCCTCAGAAGCATAATAAAAATTCTACATAAAATGACACAGCCAGAGAAAAGGAAGATATACAGTTTGATGAAGATTCAAAATGGATGTTAACATTAAAAATGAGCAGTCATGCAATTCCTGTATAATACAAAGATCAAAATTGCAGGGCACTAATTTTGCTTCTAATTTATAAGACAGTATGTTTATGGGACTGCAAATAGTATATATAAAAATATATCCAATGGCAAATGTTTTGAACTGTCATTTTTCTTCAGAAAAATTGCCATTCAACATGTATTTGTAAATTTCACCATCTAGCACCAAGGATAGCTGGGCTATATTTACACATACAAAAATGTTCTTGAAGGATGAAATATGTCTATTTTGGTTGAGGTCCTGATCTCCTTTGTTCTATTTTAAAATTATTAATTTCTGCCTTCCCCTCTCTTTTGGTTCTGCTTATGTACACGTAGGCCTATGGGCATAGGTGTGAGGCAGCCAGCGTAGTGAGCTGGTTCCCTGTGTGTACCCATGCCCATTCTCTCAAACCCACTCACGCTCACTCACATACCTACACAGACACAACCAAACACCCAATGCCTGGGAGCAGCATTAAAGCTATTTTTGGAGGTGTGCTGTACTCTGCACATTATTTGGTAGCATGGAGCATGCATAATGTATGCCCAGAAGTGCCTGCAGGAACAGCACTGAAGGGGTTAAGGTAGAACACATATAGGCAAATATTGTCAACTATTTTATTCAAATGTTTGGAACTTAAACACAAAATCATCATTAAGTTTTCACAAAATGAGGCATCTGTCGCTTGAAAGGAAAAAAATATTTCAGAAATATGTTTACAGAAATGTAAAAATATTAGGCATGGAGACAGATGTGAACATATTCAGTAACTTGTCTTGTCTGTCAGTCTTCCTCCGAGCCGAAGATCTTACTGTACTCGCTCAGCATGAGCTCCGCTATCTGGTTTTGGTACACCATGTGTATCGCCATGTTCCCCGTTTCGCTTTCAGCTCGCAGAAGGGTGGGGCCAAACACGATCCCTAAGCTCTGAGTGGACATGAGGTTCTTGGAGGCTTTGGCCACTATCCTGTGGAGAGAAAGAGAAAAAGAGAGACTCCATTGGAGTTTGAAGTAAAACAGTGGCCACTTTTGAATTATAAAGTTGTGTGTTCTTGAATTTTTTTTGTTTTTTTAATTTCAATTGAAAGAAGGAAAAGAAGGGCAGTGATTGGCTTTGGCAAAACAGAGAATGCAACACAAGCAAAAAATTTTTCTAGTTCCAGAAAAACAACAACTACCACAACACTATTTAATCTTCTACTCTTTATGCTTCACTGCATGGAACTAGAACCTATGACTTTTGGAGGAAGAGTCATTGCCTTGTACAACTTTTTACCCCCATAGTACCTGGCCATTGTGGGTGCTTAATAAATGTTTGTGGAATGAGTGAAAGAATAAATTAGACAGCAAAAATTACTGAGAGTTAATAAGATTCGGCCTTTGAAGGGTTTATAGTCAGTGGAGGAATCAGGTGAGACATGCACAAAATATATAAGAATCCAAACACAAAAAAATAGAACAATATATGCCTAATTATGATGGCAGGTAGACATAAGGATGGAGAAAAAATTAAATTTTTAGTCATTAGCTTTAGTGAGTACAGTGTTCCTGATAAATGCTACCTAGAATGTGTTTTGTAGAGAAGGTAGGTTCTGAGACATTTAGGTGTATGGCAAAATTCTAAGTGTCTCCATTCATTTTGGTCAGCCAATGGAGTTCATATCTCAGTAAAATGCAGAATCCTGTAGGATTTGCACAGGTGAAGAGTCCCATTGGAATCAAAGAAATGTTTGCTTGTATGAGGACTGTATGGGGAGCTGGAATACCAATGGAACATTAGGATGTGGTTTTTATTAGTGGCAACGCTTTGCCTGCTTCTACACAAGACTCTTAAAAAGAAAATAAAGCCCCAGCCTATAAACTGAGACTTTAAAGAAACAATACTTATTCTTACAACTGAAGCCTACTTGGTTTTATATTAAAATTAGGAAGACTGAGGTTTTAGTGATGTTAAGGAAATAGTGATAGCATATGGAAGGACAGGATGCTAAGAAATACTAAACTTTGCATTCCACCGGACATCTTGACCTAAGGGAAATGTGAGTGGACAGAATAAAGTGAGGCAAAGGAACACTTTATTGCAAGGCAGTGCGGTCTTCACTCTCAGAGCCCATTGTGGAAGGTTGGAGCACTGGTTGACTTTAGAAGACTCTTAGTTTGGCCTATGTGGGCCTCCATAGTCTCCAGTCACAGGAAGCAGGAAGACTTGCTTTATCTCCATCCCTTCACAAACCCAAATCTCTAAAGTGCCCCTTCGTGGACCAAGAGGCCATGCCTTCTCTTTCCTGAGAGAGACTGAGAAGGGCCAAAGCCTTTGATCTGTGACTCCTCTCAGCACAAGTTCATGGTCAGCAAAATGCTCTTGACCTGATCAATATCAATAATAATCAAGTATTATTCTAAACAATTTTATTGTCTCATTTGATCATCATAATAATCCCATGAGGTAGCTTCTATTATTAAGCCCATTTTACAAATGAGAAGACTGAGGCCAAGAGTGGTGAGGGGCCCAATATCACACAGAGACGAGGTTCACACCCATGCAGCCTGTTTCCAGCACCTGTGGAAGCACCATTGCCATGGTGGGCGTTATGACTCCTATGCTCGGCTGATTTTTCACCCTGCCATCCTCCACATGATTATCAGATCCCTCCATAGAAGGGTCTGAATTTTTATTCCTCACTGGAGAATTGTGATTGACAGCCTGGTTGCAATAGATTTATTGTAGGCAAATGACTCTTAAATTTGGGCTGAATATTCAAGATATTCTGCCTCCCATTTTCACTTTTCTTCTGATTCAAATGGAGAGCATTTGTACCTGTGAGTACTGTTGGCATGGCTACATTTCTGGAAGGGATTCTCATATTTTTAGAGTATCTGTGAGTTATCTGAGACTTTGAATTTAAAGTTGCTTTTGGAATATAAGAAACTATGTAACTTTGCTACCACATTTACCATAAGCCTGTACAACAATTTAAACATCCTTCTAACCTGGTGTAGGGTAGATGCAGTGGGTCTTTGCTTGCCTGTAACACACCTATTCCCTGGTTTAGGATCTCTCTTAAGCCTCTCCCAGACCTCTTTCTTATAAAAGTCATTAGTAAGATTCACAGGGAAGGAAAATGGGTTTTCTCTTTTGGTTTTAAAGTAATACCTTCTGTGATACTAATTCTTTCATTGACTCTGCCACAAAAATAATAAAAAAATTAAAGGCAAACATGGAAAGAGATAATATAGCCAATTTTTTGAGTACCTATTAGGTAAAAGTTGCTTTAACAACATCACTCATTGGTAGCAAAGCTCTGAGTTGATAAGATTTATGTGGCAGAGAACAGGGCCCAGAGGTCATAGGGCATGGAGAAGTTAGAATCAAAAGCAAGACAGTATTAAAAGTATAAAGGTGAATGACTGGGGCTGGCCCCGTGGCACAGCGGTTAAGTGCGCACGCTCCGCTGCTGGCGACCCGGGTTTGGATCTCGGGCTTGGACCCCGGGTGCGCACCGACGCACTGCTTGTCAGATCATGCTGTGGTGGCATCCCACATAAAGTGGAGGAAGATCAGCTCGGATGTTAGCTCAGGGCCAGTCTTCCTCAGCAAAAAGAGGAGGAATGGCAGATGTTTTAGCTCAGGGCTGATTTTCCTCACACACACACACGCACGCGCACACACACACACAAAAGTGAATGACTGAGAGAGGGCATCTTTCCAACAGGATAAAAGAAGAACATTAGGACCTGGAGTCCAGGGAGACTGAAAGGGGAAGAGGATGACATAAAGATAGACTGAGGATTGAAGATATATTTTCCTATTTAATAATTGCTATAATTTCAGTTGATAGCAGGAATGGTGAGAGTTGGGATAGCTAGGAGCCAGAATTGCCTCCAACTCACAAAGGTGAGGCTAGAAATCAAGGGAGGCCCAATAGCTGGTTATTGGAGGGGGTAGTTGAGGCTGTCAGGAGGTTATGGGGGTAGAAGCTGGAAGGTCTTCAGCGTCTGCAGGAACTTCGATGACTGGAGGGATAGCTCAGCTCTCCAGGGTACACCAGAAAGATACTGCAGGTGGGACTCCGGCCATGAAAGGAGAGAAAGAAGGCTGAAAAGGGCCTAGAATATTTTTCAATTTTCCCAGAGTTCTTTATATTTTTCCTGCTCAGCAATAGTCCTGGTCTTAGAATCCAGAGCAGGGCCAAATCTAGAGGAGGAAACCAAGCCTGAGTTTAAATAAGATGAAGAATAGGAGGCTGCTCATGATGCATTTCAGAGCCTCCCTCAGGGAAAGAGTTGTCTGTCTTAGCCTGTGGGTCACGGAAGAGGACTCCTGTAGTGGATTTCTGCCAATGCATCAGTTTCCTAAATTTCCGGTGGCCAAAGGTTCACTTTGTGCTTTCATGCATGTGTAAACATGGAACATTCATTCCATCTCAAACCTGCATCCTTTGTGTCCACTTCTGATTTTAATAAAACGGGCTTTAACTTATGAGTGCTTTAAAATAATCTTGTTACAAGTAGATTTTACCAATAACATATAGTTTTTTATTCTTGTTATATTTGCATTACTTCAGGTTAAATGTTCTTGGCAGCTTGGAATTTTTTTCCTACGTTGAGAAAATCAAGTTACTTGCAATAAGTTTTAGAAAAATGAAATGTAGTTAAGAAAGAAAGTTATTAAGAAAATGTGGATGTGTATTATATAGAATACATGCTATCTTGCATATTCACTGTTCCAAAATGTGTGCTTGTGGGTATGTGTGTGTATATATATTTCATTAGCGATTTACGTTTTGAATATCGACCAACCATTAGTTTCTGTGTGTTGAGAAATCAATCAATCCTTAGGTTAGAAAAGATGCTGAGGGTGCAGTCTAATTGGGGTAGAAGTCACCAGCTACCTAACTATATGATTCATGTAGACAGGTAAATATATATATATATAAATATATATATAACTATATATCAATATTTAAATTAGAGTAGACTCCTTTCTAATAGACAGTGGGGACAGACACTTCTAGCAAAGAAGGCCCCCAACTGGGGATGCCTGGGAATATGTATTAATGCTGTTGTAAACTTCATTATTCAAATACGAACTCACCTACTCTCTATCTCAATAGACTGTTAAATAGTTAAGTGGTTGATTTAGGGTCACATAGGGAGTCAACCATAATTTCAAAGTATAGCTAGAATAGTATCTTGAAAAATTATTTAAATCTCAGTTTTTTGCCTCAAATCAATTGATATCATAATTTCCACTCTCACCATGGGGGCCAGCTGGGCATTGCAAGTGCCATTATTTCTAAAGGTTTCAACTACTAAAACACATGTAGAGGAGAAACATTGAAAGAAATAAAAGCCCTGCATGGAAAAAAAACATTCAGTCTAGTACCTAAGCTGGAAAACTCTCAAATAAGTTGTACTTCCAGTAGCTTTAAAATGCAGTTGAGTTGTATTGTTGGAGGAAAGGATCTGATTCCGAAACCATATAGATTTTTACTATGGGTTTGGCAATACCTCCAGGACAGCTTTCACTAAAGTGAGTTCCGCAAAACACCATTTCTGTGATATGCCCCACAAAAATAGCATTCCAGAGTAAAATAAGTTTTGGAGAAAATTGTCTGCCCTTTTTTCTTTCTGGAAATTCACAATGCACAATAGCATAATAAAGGCTCTGAAAAGTCCTGCGGAATAATATCCCTGCTCATCCTTGTTTAACTCATGTCTTCCCAAACTTACGTGAATGTCATAGATTCTCTCTCCTGAGTGACACCAAGGAGCTTATATTAGGCAATACTGCTCTAGGGTGCTTTGCTGAGGGCCTACTAAACAAGTCTGAAAATGCTAAGGCTTTTACCCTCCTATGCCACCCTGGCTTCAGAACTCTGTGGCAGCTAACACAAAGAGGTCAGATTGTGGTCATTCTCGACAAGTTCCACCCCTCTGGAAGGGCTTAGATTTCATTAGGCCTTA